TGTGGAAGTGGTATATTTCGGGTATCAGCGCCTTCCTTGCCTGACATGTAGTTTTCAAATACGGGTCCTTCGGGTAGCCTGTCTTGTCATGATACTGATGGCTTCACAGTGAAGAAGCTTTTTCGTCTGAGAGGCCCAGTCGTTTATATTCTCACAGGGTTGCCAAGAATTGTGTCCACCTCTCAGAGGAGAGGGGTCTCATCAAGGGCCAGGGGCCGCCGGATGGGCTCTGAACCCAGGGTGCCGGAGCCGCACTGAGAGGGGGTGAAGGGGGGTTGTACAGGCCCAGGTAGGGGAGAAATGGCCGCGGGAAATGCTGACAAGGAACTGGAGCTTATTTTTCTGCGTGTGCTTGCGTTAACCGGTGGCGACAAACACACGTGAGGTTATTGCTCCTATCGGCTGCTTCTAGGAGCATCTGCTCCATGCATGTGCCTGCCCGGCAATGCCCTTCTGTTTCTCCAACCGCAGAGGAGGCCCCTGACTTATCCAGGGTTTGTGTTCTTGACGATACCAGCAAACACACCTTGGGATCTAGTGGGGAAGAGAGTGGGACTGGTAATAACAGGAAGAAACACACCAGCATTCTTGGCAGGCTTCTTCCTTCTTCCTTTTTTTAAAAAAGATTTATCTATTGGGTTCTCCCTGGTTGGTGGCGCAACGGGTTAGGTCACAGCACTGCAAGCTGGCCACTTCGTGTGAGTTTGATGGCGCAGCAGACCTCCCCTGTCCCGCCCGCTGCTCCCCTCAGCAGTGTACTTCGTCATTCGGCCTGATCTGCTCCCCACTGTCTCTGGTGAATCCTTTCACAGCCCCCTGCCCCTCTGGCCTGTACCCCGTTTCTGTATGCATAAATAAAGAATCCTCTCTGGCGTGAGGATTCAACAGAGACAGAGTGGTGCATAAATCTTTAAGATTTATTTAAATAAATATATCTTTAAGACTTATTTAAATAAATAAATCTTTAAGCGCTGTGCCATGTGGGTCACCTCTGGGGCAGGGATTGAACTGGTGCTGAAGTGGCCGTGGCTGGCTGGCAGTGCTGTGCTTTATTTAGCCTCTGGGCCACCAGGGAGGCCCTTGGAATGTTTCTTGTGGCTCATACACAACAGGATCACTATGAGCTCTACCAGCATTTACTCATTCAGTTCAAACAATCTCATAAGTGGATATAACTTTTACAAACAAGGAAATGCAGGAGAGCTTCTTCTTCAGTCCAGGACTTTGAACACAGCTTGCAGTGAGTAATAAAAGAAAGTCCCCTCATGAGGCCTGAGTGCAGTTATACCATGGGAGTTTGATTGGGGCAGGTCAAAGTCAATCTAGTGCGACTTGAGAAGCCCCTGACCAAAAGCCGACCCCTCCTCTTTTTCTCCTGACCCCCCTCCTGGGCCCCCAAGCCGCACATGGCCAGTTCCGTCAAGTGGAGAAGGACGCGCTCTAGTATCTCAACTGAGACATTCCCCAAGGCTGAGGAGATGCCGGTAAATGAAGCCCCGCGCACAGGCAGGTTAATGATTCCGCGGTGGCTGTTACTGCCCTAATCCTTTCGCAAATGGCCAGGGCACCGCGACATCCAGGGCCCACGTGAGCCTCCCGCAGGGGAGGGTCCCCGTTGCGCGTGGACACTCGGCAAGTTTCAAGAACATTAGCCCATACTCCAGGCTCAAGGGAGAAAGTCGCAGTTTTACCGAGGGGCCACAGTTTTGAAGTCTTAAGGCAGGAAACTTGGAGGTAAAAATCAAGCTCTTTGCGCAAGAGGCCGACTGCCAGTTGCAGGGATTTGAAAAGCAGCGCCCGGTGGGGCCTCGCCAGGCCAGGGCCCCCGGGGGTGCGCGCTGCCTCCGACTGGGGGGGCCAGTCTGGTGCGGGGGCGCCAGCCGCTCCCGTCTAGTGGGGAGCTGCCGCTGGACGTGTGGGGGCCCAGCCCCAGGACTGTCTGCATGGCCCCCTCCATCGCTCGCCCCGTCTTTCCTGCGCGAGCCGGCTTGGGGGGGCCCTGGGC